CTGTTATTGCTGTTATTGCTGTTATTGCTGTTATCGCCGTGGAGTCGTTGACAACAACAGGCCGTGTGGGGATTCATGTCGTGGGAATTAAAGGTCGGCATCGTGACACTGGCTTCTAGTTCGTCGTGTTCTTTACGATAAAGGAGCGCGTGATTAGAGGCCAAAGAAACCACTGAGATATTTGACTAAAATCATCTGAAAGTCGTGTTTTTGTCTCATAGTTGTTGTTGTTTTATTTATTTATTTTTATGCAGGAAACACATGGAGATCAATTTATTTTTGAATGTGATTTTTGTACCACCAGGTTTATTCAATTCTTCTGTGGCCTGGTTTATTTATCTTTTTCTAATATTACATCATTGTTTCTGAGAAAAAAAAGAATAATGAGTGAATGGAGGGGGTGTGGAGGGAGGGGGCGCTGTTGGTAGACAAACAGAAGATCAGACATTTTCTCAGCAGCGTTATCATCACAGAGAATCTGAAGGTGTTTGTCTTCGTCGTCCACTCTGAAGAAGTGACGTTTAATGACTGACCAACATCAAATATTGGTTTTCTTTTTCTTTACATACGTGTGTGTGACGCAACACATCAGTGAGAAGTCACGAGTTTCACACTGAGTTTAATCACAACATGATGTAGAAATATTTAATATTCAATCATTTTAATTTGGAAATGTATTGAACCATGTTTTGATTTGAATGTATTTTATTAATTTCACTGATGTCTGACGCTTCAGAACAGAAGTTTTTCTCAGTCTCGTCTGTTCTGTTCTGGAGGTTAACGGACGGGTTAACGAACACTTAAAAACCTCCGCTCCACAGACCGCTATCGTGTCTGATTGTGTAACAGTGGTAACAAAGCTGTGTTCAAACCGTGGCTCTGCTCTGCCTTTTGTCCCACTTCATTGTTGGAGGTGGACAGTGTAGAGTTTCAGCATTCTTTCTTTTGATCCTCCTTTTGTCACATTCTCCACGTTTGGAGCTAAAGGTAAAACTGGCGACGGCCGCGCCCCGACTCTTATCTGGACTTTCCATCACGGAGACCAAACATCGTTATGGAATAACACACTTCACGCTTCTGCCTTCAAATGGCACAAACTCTCTCTCTCTCTGTGTGTGGTTGGTGCAGCAACTGCAGCGTCACCTGATTTATCTCTCACCCCCCCCTCTCTCTCTTTCGTCCCCAGTGACTGTTTACCACAAAACTCTCTCGTCCTATGAGAGCGGCCGCGTCATGACATCACGTTCCCTGTTCCTGCTGCTTTACCTGTTTGGGAGCTGCTTTGGTAAAGAACCTTTTTTTATTTTTTTTCCCTCAGATGTGACGCCTCACAAACATGACACAAATCCTGTCTTGTCTTGCAGTTTGATGTGTATTAAATGTGTGTTATATATAGTTATATGTAATAATATATGAATTAAAGCTGACAGTTTAATTGTCGTGAATCATTAACATAGGCTGTTGTTGAAACTACACAGTGATTGACAGCTGACAGATGGATGACACAGCTGAACGATGCTCGATTGCAAAACAAAGGAAACGTTTTTTTCTCTTGAGATCAATGAGGAACAACTCCATAAAAGTTACAGTCGTGGAGAAACAATAAAAAATAAAAAGAAGTTGAAGAACCACGGTGTCAGTGATCAAAAGAAGAAGCAGAATTTTCACCAACTGCTGATTTACATCGAACCGTTTAGATTGAAAAAAAAAATAATGAAATGAAACATATAAACAGATAACAAACCGTTTAGATTGAAAAAAAAAAGAATGAAATGAAATGAAACATATAAACAGATAACAACCAATCACATCACTTTTTCCCCGCCTGTTTTTCCACAGAGCACTCAGGAGCCGAGAGGTAAAAAAAACAACTTTTTTTTCTTCTTCGTTTCTTTACGTTCGTTGGAAAAACTGAGGTGAATTTTTCTCCTTTCTCCAAACAGCTACAACAATGACACGTGCCTCGCTGAAGAACGCTGCTCTGGGGTGAGTGACCCCTGCAGGTCAATCCATGAACTGAACGTCATCCTAAATGACCCACATGTTGTGGCCCATATCTGACCCATCAGGGTGTCCATAATAAAATCACTCATGGAATTAGCCTGAGGCCTGGCTCCTCCTGACCAATCCAAGCCTCCATTAAAACTGGGACTGATAAAACAGTGTTGTCTAGTGACCGTCCAATCCTCCCTCGTGTACCAGTTTGTGAGTCATGACCCATATGTTGAGAAACAGGGAGTGTTATTCAATCGCCATCTTTGTCATTTGAGAGTCAGAGTCATGTGACAACAGTAGTAGTACTTACAGTGTACTGTAGTAGTACTTACACTGTACTGTGGTTGTACTTACAGTGTACTGTAGTAGTACTTACACCGTACTGTGAATATGTTTGTCTCCTCCTTCGTTCCTTCGTTCCCAGGATTCCTCCACCAACTTCCTCCACTGTGTGGGGCTGCCGTCCAGCGACACTGGGAAGGACCACATGCGGAGACTGAAGGAAGTGTTGGAGGCAACAATGGACTTGTACACCTTCATGGTAGGACTCACCTGTGGAATCTCAGTCTCACATGATACATGGTAGTAGGAATGCTGTCCTGTGTTCACCCTGACCTGTTTCTGTTGTGTACGAGTGTTGAGTTCACTCGTACATTCCAGGTCTCTGAAGTACTCCAAAGGTCGGGTACAGTACGAGTACCTGTCCGACTGCTTCACCCACGGCACAGTTCATCAGTTCATTAGAGTTTCACTTCATCTGAACTGAATATTTCATATTAGTTTGGTCATGTGTTGAATATTAACTCAGAATATTTCATATTAGTTTGGTCATGTGACCAGTACCAGGGAGCAACAGGCGCCGGCCGTGGACAGGAAGTGGTCATCAGTGAAAATGGCCTTGAATATCTGCCTCACACTGTCATTACCTGAGCAGAGACTGTGGAGTCACATGATCCAGGAAACCAATCAAATAGTTTTATTCTTCCACTGCAGAGTTTGACACACGATTGTGAGGGTTGTCATGGAAACAAGGCTCCAGACAGGAATCTTTTAATAAACAACACATTAGAAAAATGTATCATGAAAACTGAATAATTTCCTTTGATCAGGAGTCGAAGGTCAAAGGTCAAAGACTGTGACATCCTTACTTCACTTTTGTCTCTGTAGATTAACAAATTAAAATAAAAAACCTCTTCCGTCTGCACTAATTACAGAAGTCCAGCATGAAGGGAGTTCCTGTCCTTGAACTGCAGGGGGCAGTGAACATGAAGCCCGACGTCGACCCACTCCAGAACGAAGCTCTTGTGGAAATGTGGCTGGACGTGAAGATCAAACCTCTGCTGAGTTCCATCACCAGAGAACTGCTGACCTGCCTCGGCACCAAGAACTTCAGCTGCGCCACCTACCAGACTGTGTACGTCCAAGTCCGTCCAAGTCCGTCCAAGTCCGTCCGTGCCGGTCGGCGTCCGTCCTCACAGTTCGACAGCTTCACGGTCTCGTTTGTCGTTACAGAGTCAGGGAGTTCAGTCACTATTTCTCTGAGATGGAGCCATTCAGACAGAAGTGGATCTACAGCTTCTTCATGTTCCCGTTCTTGTCCAGAGACCAAGTCCAAGGTACTGCAGTACCGACCGATCTGCCTCTGATAAGTCACAAAGTACCTGAGTACTATTTGTTAATCAAGCTTCAGGTGCAGTAACATGTGTCGGTGGTACTACCATCTCCACCTGTGTCTCCAGGTTGTGTGAATCCAGAGGAGGGCAGTGAGGAGTGGCTGGTGAAGAACTTCGGTGCCTTCAGCGCCGTGGCCCGACTGAAGGACTTTTCAACTCTCAACTTGATTTTCAGTGGCGTGAGTTATGATCAGATTTACGCACACGTTGTGACATCGTGAAAATATTGACATCCAAGTTCTTCTTCTTCTCTCTCTCTCTTCCTTCTTCCTGCTGTTTTGGAACATCTCCACAGTTGGAGGTTCTCCACCTTCTGTCTCCGGCTCAGAAGGCCGAGCTGCTGCTGATGCCTGAGGTCCAAAGCTGGGACAACAACACCTTGTCTTTGGTCTTCAGCAGTCTGATGACGGGAGGCTCTGGTTCTGATAACAGCTCCAGTCCAGGACCTCCAGGTCCTCCAGGACCTCCAGGACCCCGTCCACCACAGCCTGGTTCTCATGAACAGGTCATGGCACATGAAATACTCTCGTATTTACGGATGTCTGATATTCACTCTGGTTATTCAGTTAATTAGTAACATATATTTGATTATCTGTTCAAAGCACACAGTGAGCTACTGCTGCCATCTAGTGGCTTTCACTTTCATATACAACTGCTTTTCCCCCAAACCATTTTTAGGGCACATTTCAAGGTGAATGTTCTTCCTGTCGTTCAGGTGGCCCAGGCTTTCATCAGTGTCTTCAGGCCCTTCGGGAGCTTCGCCCATGAATTTGTGTCCTTGACGCGAGAGGTACAAATACTCACACGTGTCACACACCACCCCCCCTCCAGCCCCCCCACAACAGGTATTTGTATTTTAACCATCAAGTACTCTTTCCTGCGTCTGCTCCCACCAGAGAGGCGTGTCGGAGATAAAGAGTACGACTCTGACTCAGTTTGTCCTGAACTGGACTCTGTCTGAGCTGGCCCACATGTACCTGCCTCAGAACACGTCCACTTCTCCACCGATGCCAACATTCGACGTGACGAACGTGGAGGACTGGTACCAGCAGGTGGTGCTACCGATGTTCCAGAGGTTCTTTCCAAATAGTGACGACCTGATGAATAAAAACGTCACGCTGGCGTTCCATGAAGTTTAGTGAGTACATCATCTGAGTCGTCTTTTGGAAACTTTTGGGACTGTAATCTGAAATTAAAACTTAAAACAGTAACAGCAAAAAGTTTTACTACAAATACTGTACAGTAAACCCTTGTTTTTCGCGGGGGTTACGGTCCAAAAAGAACCCGTGATAGGCAAAATCCGTGAAGTAGAAATCTTTATTTTTTTTACAATTAAATACTCAGAAAAAGAAGAGAAAGAACGAACAAACCATTTTACAGTCTCAACCATTTGTTTAACAAATAAAGGAAAATAAAAGTACTTTAGAAACGTTTCAACAAATAACTTCTGTAATGTACTTTAAAATAATAATTTTAATCATCAACGTGAACAGAAGGCTTCAAATTGCGGAGATTAGCACCGCCCACCGTGCACGGGAGAAAATTAAAAATGATTACCCTGTATGAATCCTTATTAGAACTTATTGCTGCTGTCTTCCTTATGTTTTTTTCTTCCTTCCTTATGGAACGAACGGAAGATTCATTAATTCCATAATGCCGACCTACAGCCGCATAGCTTTTAGCTTCATTTAGCATGTCCAATAGTTTGACTTTATCACGGATAGACAGCATCTTCCGCTGCCTTTTGGTCCCTACCGCAGGTACTTTTGCCGGTCCAGAGCTTTTTGTCGACATTATGGGGTTTGATAAACTCGAACTTGCAAGAGAATTTGCACGTACGGAATGTCAATTTGGCAAGCTGTTTTACGTACGTGTACATATTAAACCGCAACGTTATTGGCGCACAGGTAGAGAAGAAGCGGAGTGACTTTTTAGCCAATCAGAATGCAGAACACAATGCACGATGCAAATCCGTGAAGTAGCGAAACCGTGAAAAGTAAACCGCGTTATAGCAAGGGATCACTGTACTGTATTTGACAAGTATTCGGCTGTAGTAGGTTGTTGTGCCTCTGAGCAAAGTCTACGAAGAGAAAACCTATTTTTCAGATGTTCTTGACTAACCCTCACCGTCGTGTCTGTGGTTGATCTCAGTTATCTGGAGAACGGTGTCCACAATGAGACGACTGACGTCATGGATGTCTGTAGCGTCACCTTGGATAAGAGTCCCTGTGGGGTAGGTTAGCTTTGACCTTTGTTCAGTCGTAAGACGACGCGTACCAGTCAGTGTTACGGCTAAACTTAATATTTAAATTTTTTTTTTTTTGGGCTAACAGCTAACCAACGTCGTGGAAAATGTGGCCCACATTTTAAGCTGCGCTGCTCGAACCAACCTGACGATGGACGAAGGGACCATCATGAAACTGATGGACGAGTTGATCACACGACTGAACTCGCTCCTCGTGGAGTTGTCTTCCACCGTGAGTAAAACCTGCCGTCTCCATCGAACCGTGAATGTTGGTGTGAAACAAAGAACGTTTGGTTTACTGGTTTATCTCCAAATATTCATCTTTTTTATTTCGATCCTTTTCCTCCTGAAGAACTTCGCAGAGCTGGCGTCGGATTTCCAACAGATCTTCAGTGAAGCCGACGTTCCCTCTCTGAGCCAGGAGAACCTTCATGACCCGGAGTTCATCAAACTTTGGTTTCAGATCAAACTGATGCCCCTCCTGCCAGATGTTACCCCGCCCCTCCTCTCCTGCCTCAGTACCAAGAACTTCTCCTGCCACGTTTACCAAACCATGTGAGTTCACAGATCTTCACGTTGGGTCTTTTTTTATGGCGTACCGATTGGTGGACAATAACACGCTGTTTCATTTCTGTTTTTTTTCTGCAGAGTTGCTTCTCTCGGCCGACACTTGTTCATGATGGAGGCTGATCCCATGTACAGTCAAAACATCTACCAACATTTCATCTTTCCCTTCCTGCTGCATCACAACAGTTCTGGTCAGTAGAGGGCGCACTCACAGAGTTCCTCAAGGATCTGAGTTTGTCCCGTCACTGTTATTCAGAAAAAAAGTTCCAGTTCTAGAATGTGATTTTTCTTGTACAGACAACAAGTACATGCTGGTATTACAGTACAGTGTAGTATGGTGTACGTTTGTATTGATACCACTGATGATGATGTCATTCTTCTTCTTCTTCTTCTTCTTCTTCTTCTTCTCGTTGCCTCAGACGCCCAGTGTCTCTCCTCAGTCGACAACAGCACAGAGTGGCTGACGACAAACTTCGGTCATTTCTCGGAGTTTGCCGCTGTCCCCGACTTTTACCATCTCAACCCGAGCTTCTCCGCAGTGAGTCGTGACCTCCTACCGTTCCAAACAAGCTTTAGATCCGACGTTGGACGTTTTTGATACTAATCAACTCCGTTTGTTCTGGTCTCCTGATCAGCTGGAGGTTCTTCCCGTTTTATCTCCGAAACAACTCGCCGAGCTGCTGGTGCTGCCGCTGCCCGCGCCGCCACAGAAAGACGTGGTTATAAACGGCGTGTTCGACTTCCTCCTCGCCTCACCTCAAAGACTTCCTGAGGTCTTACATCATCTGGTTCAGGTGGCCAATGAGGTAAAAGCCACGCCCCCCCCCCGAGAAGTCCTCCACGAATGCTCAGTTCTTATTTTTGTTCAATGAATAAATGATTGATTTGTTTTTTTTTCCTTTAGGTTAATCCACCCTGTGAAGTCCTCACACACATGTGAGTTATTCACCCCCCCCCACTCTCTAAAGGTCATGACCCCTGGTGTGTGTGTGTGTGAAAAAAAACTTCAACCACATTTCAGTTGAGCTTGTTTGAAAATTAAACTGACAATAAAAAGTGTCACTAAAATAACCACTGTAATGGATATACCATCATTACTGAGTGTAGTACTGTAGTACTGAATGTGGTACTGTAGTACTGAATGTGGTACTGTAGTACTGAATGTGGTACTGTAGTACTGAATGTGGTACTGTAGTACTGAATGTGGTACTGTAGTACTGAATTGAGTGTAGTACTGTAGTACTTAATGTAGTACTGTAGTACTGAATGTAGTACTGTAGTACTG